ACTGCAGTGAGCATCCACCAGCTAAAATGTATTACAGATATAAATTGGCACCAAATGCAACATAAAGAAATCTGTTCATCCCACTCTATTGGATGCAAAACGTAAGCAGCTGCTTATTGAAATGTATGACCACTGACTTTTTTTTAAAGGCGTAAACCAGTTTTTAGTAAGTTTGGCCCATTGGAGATAAATTATAACTATATATGTAATACTTTGGTGTTCAGTTAAGATATCAACCTTTTTTTTTTTAATTGTTTTTTGCCCAGAATCCAAAGACATTGCTTTTTTAATTCAGCGTGCAGGTTTACTTTGATGGCGTCCCACAGTGTTTTATTTTTCTTGGTTTAGGGAAGTAAAATGTAATTCTGTGGAATAATACTGCAGTAAAGCCATGAGCTCACTCATCTCGAGGCTTCATAAGAGACTTTCACAAACCACAGCAGCTATGTCCACCAATTCTACTGCCTTTGGTTTGCACTGTGCTGATGGACACTGTCATACACAATCCTGCCAACAGACATTAGTGGCAGTAGAGTGCCATGTGCAGACAGACAAAAAACAAGCCTACAAGTTAGCAAACATGTATGTAAACAATGGACCATTTAAAATGTTATCAATAGTTGTCTTTGTATAAGTCGTTGCATTAGACTTACAGAACGATGTATTTTTGGGTACAGAAAAACTTGACGGTAGCTTTAACGCACCGCACACAAGCTAATTATTTTTAGCTTTTATTTGTAATATTGTGAAGAACACACACTTGATTTCTGGTGGCACCATTCCTTTAAGTAGGTCAGCTCCCATCCTACATAAGGAGACCAATGGACCAAAATTCTCAAAAACCAGCTTCACCTAAAATCTGTCTTTTAGCTGATCTAATTCTGAATTAATTGGATTGAGGGACTTCACAGTCCTTGCTACTTAGCTGTACATTTGCATCCACATGAAGTGCAAACAGTGTGCTGTAATGTGCAACATGGGAACCTGAAGGCTACAGAATAAGATGCCAAAAAGTACTTAAGACTGATGGATGATGGTGTGCTTGGTCTGCCTGCCACATCAGGAAGATTCTGGGTTAAATGTTGTCATCCAGTGGATTAGTTTAATCTCCGGCGATCAGTTGGCCACAGCCAAGATTAGTCGACCTAATTACCGCATATTCAGACAGCCCATTGATTCCTAATGGACCAGGAGCACTAACACTAGCCTGTCAGATGGATAAAATAAGATCTGAGAGGAATCAAATGGAGAGAAAAAAAGGACATAAAAAGAGAGTAAGAGTGATTTGGTGCATTACAGGGAATGTGTCTTTGCTGATTAGTAGTATTCATGATATTTGGCATTTTTCATTATGGCATTGAAAGTGGGTGGTCACTGCTAGTGGTGCAGAGTGAGAAAGAGAGAGACAGAGAGACTGGACAACAGGACTCTGATAGGACACAGGGCGGGTGGGGAAATGGGGTTAAGGTACTCCGTCATCCTCACGCCAGTTTCAGAAACTGTTCCACTGTATCCGCTTCCACTGCCTCGGAAAACATTTCATAGTTCTGTCGAGAGGAAGAAAATGCCAACAGTGTTAATAAGTACACAAAACAACAAACCAGCAGCAGCACAATCCCACAACTGCTGGAAGTAACGCAGCACTCTGATAAATCAAAAGCAAAGCACATGAGCCTCGTGTAAATGTATTGTTCACTTTGTACAACTTGACCTCCGTTAAGGAAAACAACTGTTTCAGTGAGTTCAGCGTTGCGTTATTGGTGAGAATATGTGAGTGTGTGTCTGTACGCCTGCATCCTGATGTGATATTTGTGAGGATGACAATGAACGTTAGAACACAAGACTATTTGTTGAAATATATTCAAAAGTTTTTATATTTTAAATGTATCGTTTATTACGTGTTATTAAGTTCTTGTATCGTCTCCACCGTGTTCCTTTTTATCCTCTTTAGTTATTGTTGGATCCATTTACGTTATGTTGAGAATTGAAGAGGGCTTTCTGCTGAAGTTTTGAAAATCAAACTTCCCCGTGGCCATTAAAGGTGACTGAGTTTGCAGGTCCTTTTGCAGAGAGTGGGAGCTGCTGTTAGCACAGAGGCAACATCAGATTCTGAATGTAACCAAGAAAAATCTCAAATAGAAATGCAGAGATTTTGAAACCACTGCTGCAGCACCAACGCAGGCATCTTTTTATGCTAATTCAGTTTTGCACACACATATCCTTGGCGTATAATGATTAACCAGTTTAATACTGGCAGAACTTAGTAGAGAAGCAGTGACTGTGGAATTTTGATATCAAATTTTCAAGAGAGAAAAATAAAATAAAACCCAAAAAATGCTCTTCAACAAACCTCCTTGAAGGCATTTAGCAATTTGACAGCGACGGCTAACTAACAACTGACACATGCGTTAACCATTTAATGATATATTGATTACTGATATACTGAAAATTTGAGGGACACATGCATTTAACAACCACATGATTAAATCATCCTGCAGGTGGACTTTACTTTGAAAAGTGTTCACACATGTTCAGTTGTTACAGGCAGCTTACAGGGCTGTGTGTGTGTTTTCCTTACCCCACAGTACTGGTGTTCGTTGAAAAGCTGGGGAGGGACTGCCGTCGGGTCCCCCACTTTGCTTCTCATTTCATCACGGAGCTCCCCGCCCACAGAGATGTCGATGAGCTCGTACTGGATGCTTTTGCTTTCAAGGATTCGTATCACTTCTGCCTGTTGAGACTTCACCTAGCATTAAAAAAAGCCCCCCAAAAAGGCCAAAACAAGGGTTTTAGGATCTTAATCAACCCGAATACAATTAACAGGAGGCAGACAACTCATTTATCTGTGTTTAATTTGCAGACGGTGACATGTGACACCAGTTTCCAATCTGCTGTTCACTGACTACATTTCCAAGAGCTTAGCAGAGCAAAATCATGATAGCTGTGAAGCTGATAAGTGTTTTAGTCAGTGTGTGATAAAACAAGAGGCAGATGAAGGCTGAACTTCTCTGAAGGACTGTTCAGATACACCTGGTAATGCTATTTTCCCTAAAGGGAAAAAAACAAGACACTTTTTTCTTCTTTTAAAAAACAAAACAAAAGGAACAACACTGTAATAGAAATTTTTTTGATGCTCTGCCAGTAAAAAGCTGCAGCTTTATGTTGCATATGTTACACAAATGTGATGATTAATAGATGTAGTAGACAGTCTGCTATCTTGTGGGTGACTCAGGAAGTGTGTGTGTGTGTGTGTGTGTGTGTGTGTGCGTGCGTGCGTGGGGGATGTGACCACACCTAAAAACAGCACTAACTGGCAACACACAGACAGCCCAGTCTCATTTCCTTAAACTAAAAAAAAAAAGGGGGAATTGCTCGTATTTGTTCCATAAAATTTTAGGAAGCATCTCTGAATTATGAGAAGTTTCATGTGTGCTGCAGCTGACTGGAAACACTGACATAATAATGTAGGTCTGAGCTACTGAG